CCCCCCCCCCCCCCCCCCCCCCCCCGTGGAAACCCCTGATGCTCAGAGTAGTCCCCGGCGTTTGGGAACTTGGTTCGTGATTGCTCTTGAATTCTGCAAAGCATTTAAACAAGCAACCAAACGCTCAGAAAACACCGGAAGGCGTTGGTTGCAAGCACCTGCTCCCTAGGCCCCGCGGGTCCGCCGTCAGATTAATCTCAGCGCCAGTTTTCGTGCTCCGTGAAGTGGGGCTCATCCCCGCCCGCGTAGACGGAGCGTGCTGCCTCCCACGCACGTCCCCAGCTGCATCAGCCTGGAGCGACGGGGGCTCACCAGCTGGCTGATGTCTGCTGGCTTCAGACTGTTCCATCCTGTCTGGGGAGTGCTTCCTACTGCGTTCCCCTGCAAAGGTGCCGCCCGATGTCACCCACGGTCTTGGCATTTCTCTGGGTTCTAGATGCACTCGGGCTTTTTAAAATCCTGTCAGGGAAACCACAAGAAGTCTTAAGTTTGGGCCAGTTCTTCTACCGATGTCTTAGGCAGCATGCTGGCCTTTCAGAAATACTTAAAATAAAATTAAAAAAGGGAAAAACACTCTTTCAAAGGCTATTTTACGGAGAAACAAAACTCAAGACTTCTCTCCCGCTCTGGGTGAGGCCAGGGGAGCAGGCTGAGCTCAAGCACCACACCCTACAGCTTCCGGGAAGTTCCCCTCGCCCTGGGTGTTCTGCTAACTACTTAATTGGCCATGTGAGACCTTCCCTTTAATTGGCCCCCTGAGGTGGGGTCCCGGCTGCTTGTTAACCGGGGACTGGTGAAAAGCTGCCATTTGTTTCAGCCAGCTCTCTCCCACTTTTCCCGGGAGGCTGAGGCCAGCCCACCAGGTGCTGGAGGCAGCTTTGTACTGGGCCTGGCTGGGGCCAGGGTAGGGGGTGTCTTGGTCCTAGTTTCTCACACTCCCGTGGAGCTGTAGACATTTGTCCCCCTTCATCTACCCAGCTGTCCGTCTCTAGTTGGTGGCCTTTACCTGTTTCTGACGGGGTGGGGTGGGGATCTGCTTCCCAGTCCCTGGGAAAAGCAGATGACAGACAGAAGGTCCCTGTTCGTAAAGATGGCTGCTGATAGTAGGTGCTGAAGGGCTGGCATCGAAAGCCTTTCATCTCAGCACTCTCGTGGCAGAGGCAGGATCTCTGTGTGTTCGATGCCAGCCTGGGCTACAGAGTGTTGTCCAGGATAGCCAGGACTACACAGATAAACTGTCTAAAAAAAAAAAGGAAATAGAAAAGAAAAGAAAGAAAAAAAATGCCACCAAGTCATGTGACCCTGTTTACGAATGGTTACTAAGCAGTCCCGCTAACTGCAATCACCGCTTGTGAACAATACTACTTACTGTATTGGTAATGAACCTGTAATCTCTATTATTATTATTTAAAAAGGATCTTGATGTGTTGCACAAGCTAGCCCAGAACGCTTGGCTTACGGGATAATTCTGTTCCACTACCTCTCCAAAAAAGTTAGGATGATGGGTATGTACCGCCGTGACGGCATAGTATTATTATTTTTTGTCTGCTTGCATGGCTTGCTTGTTTTTGGATTTGACACACACCATTTCTATTTTACCTTAAACTGGATGCGTCCGGGAGTTATCACTTTCCCATAATTTATTCTTTTTTTTTTTTCCCCTGCATTAATGTTTTCTGTAATTCGTAATGAAGCTGTGTTTTGTTTGTTTGTTTGTTTTTTGTTTTTTTGTTTTTTTTTTTTTTTATCCCTAACTGACATGAAATATTTAGTTAGTCACAATCACAGGTCTGGGGCTGCATTCATCCCAACTTGCAAACAAACACCAACAAAAATCCCACCATCTTTCTGTAAGATGAAAACAGCTCAGAGAGGCACAGATTCTTAGGGCTGCTGTCTGTTCTTTCATTTCTTTTTCCACTGTAAAAACAAATGGTCTCTAACAATTGCTAATGTCAAACCCTTTCTTTAGGCTGATGAAATACAGTAAGCCTGAGAATTTGTAAGGCAAGGAGGGAGATGTTTGATTTTACAGAAAGCATGATAATCTTCCTTACAAGATAGTCCCCAGAGGAAATGTTTGTAATTATATTTGACTGGAGGGCAAGGTGCGTTCCTCTCACTGAACCAGGAAGCGAGCCATGAGTTCTCGCTGGGGACAGCCAAGATGACAATATCCTCAGACTTCAAATATTTCACATTTTAAACTAAACATGAAACTTTGTGGGATTTGTTTTAAATTCCTTACCGTTGAGTGGTGACTTCCTGCTTAAGCAAGAGAAAGGATTACAACGGCTGTTTTTCATTGTCTTTGAGGCAAACAGATCTTATGACAGGACACAGACAGTCGTATAGTTGACATCAATGAAATCTCATCAACCTGATCAAATTCCTGCAGGGGGAGGGGAAAGAAATCAATCATGAGGTGCAGTGATTGTTTCAAAAAGAATGCTAACATAGCCTTCCTCTATGTCAGACATCTCCGCTCCCAGACCCACTTCTCATTGCTACTGTCAATCACACAGCCTGTGGCCAAATTGCTTCTTGTCAAAGCACTAACTGAGTCTCAAAAATGTCACCTCATATTTGAGAGTCATCTCTCCTGCTCCCTTGAACCCCAAGGGTGGGCAGCTAAAAAGTTTCTATAAAAGGCCGGTCAAGAAGTACTTCTAGCTTTGCGTAGCACATGGCCTCTGATGAAGCTTTCCAGTTCCTGGTGTGGTGAGCATGAAGCATAGATGCTATGTAAATCAGCTCTGGCCCTGCTCCAGTGACTATTTATAGCGAATTTAAAATTTCCTAGAATAGTGACATGTCATGAAATTGTCTTCTTTTGAATTTTTTTTTTCTTTTTGTAACTATTGACAAGTGTAGAAACTATTTTTGGGTCCTGGGCTGTACAAACATAGGTGATAGGATGGATGGGGGCTGCGGGTTGCACTCTGTGAAATCCCCTAGAATGAAATATTTCTCTTACGGGGAAACTTATGGTTTAAAGTACTGGGACAAAACTTCAGCAAGCTGAATAAGTAGGTTATGCTAGTACCTCTTTGTAAACATTCAGTTCACCCACGGTTGCTAGTAGCCTGGGTATACTGCATGAAAATTCTAGTTATAAACAGTGCATTATCTGAAGGAGTGTGACAGTCTTGCATTGTTAAGCTCTGTCCTGCCTGGATATGAACCGTCACTGTGTCCAGTGTATCAACTTTGTATATGCTGCCCGCCCCTTTATCACTTTGGAGTTCCCGTGCTTATCAGGCACACTGTGCAGGTATCCTGAGACTTGTGTTTATGTAACTCTTAAGAATGGCCCTAAGAAATATTGTCAGCAGCCAGGAGGAGGTGGCGTACCCCTTTAATCCCCGGCACTCTGAGTTTGAGGCCAACCTGGTCTACAGAAGGAGTTCCAGGACAGCCAGGGCTACACTGAGAAACAAAAAATAAAACTAACTAACTATCTATCTATCTATCTATCTATCTATCTATCTATCTATCTATCTATCT